TTGAAAGGAGCTCAGACAAAAAGAAAAATGTTGTTTCTTCTACTGCCATGAATGCCTCCTAATCCCACTGAAACTATGCTAGGGGTATCAATTACCTTTACAGAGATGAATCCAGGATTCATCCAGGTCCTTTATTGGACCATGTAATTGCAATACATTAATTAACTACTCCTTCACCTACCTTTTTAACTCTCCTTCTCAGGCTTCTGAGACATTATTGCCCTTTCCTAGTTCTCCTATCTGTTCTTCTTCAACACCCTGTCTTTTAACATTTAGTGATCCTCAGTGTTCCAGCTTTGAATACTATTCTTCTTACAAAGTAATTCAAACTTCTCTCATAGTTTTAATTTCTATCGTTAGATAATGACTCCCAACTTTAAGTTCAGTCCATATCTCTCCCTGAGCCTCAGATTTAGAAACAATATTTGAAGAGACAATGGTGGAGAAATTTCTAAATCTGTTCAAAGATATCAGCCAGATTCAAAAAGCTCTATAAACCCAATAAAAAAACCTAGTACCTAGGCATAGCATAATAAAACAGCGAAAAGCCAAAGATAGACAGCATTTCTCAATAGCAATGATGGAAAAGTGTAGATAATGGTGTGACATCTTTTAAAGTGGTGAAAGAAAATAAATGACAACTTAGAATGTGACAGTCAGCAAAACATCCTTCAAATATGGAGGAAATAAAAGATGTTTCCAGAAAAACGACAACGAAGATTCACCAACAGCAATAAGCAGCCAATGATCCTACATGGTAGTATGGTAATAAACAAGGGATTAAAGAACAGCCAAAAGCATAAGTAGACGGATAAACTGAAATCAATGTTGACTGTTTAAAATATTATTTTGGGAGGTTATAAATACATACACACAGAATGAATTTCATGACAACAACAACACAAACGGTAAATGAACAAGAGATAAATGGCATTAAGGTATTGTAGGATCCATGCATTTTCCAGAAGTGGTTTAAAAAACAATCAATTTAGGGTAGATTCTAAGGAGTTAACAATGCGTATTGTGACCTCTAGGATTACAATAAAAGCACTGAACTGTATTATTAATTATCTAATAAAAAAGAAAAATTAAGTAGTTAAATATACCTGAATAAGGCAAGTGGAGGAAATAATGAACAAAGAAAAATGGGGCAAACAGAAAACAAGTAAGATGGTAGATTTATACTATATCAATAATTGCAGTAAAAGGAAGGAGACAAAATACTCTAAAACACAAAAACACCCTGAGAAAAAAACGAAACCCAACTGCATATGGTTTAAAAGAGACATCTTATATATGACATATAAATGTTGAAAGTACAAGGATGGGAAAACACACACTGTGTAAACGTTAGCCAAAAGAAAATATCAGACATAGTAGGCTTTTAGGCAAAAAGTATTACCAGAGATAAGGAAGGATATTTCATAATGACAAGAGAGTCAATTCAACATAAAGGTATGACAATTATAAAATTACAAGCAATATATAATAGCCTCAAAATATATAAAGTAAATAACTGATGGAATTAAAACAAGATGATTCTACCATCAAAGTTGGAGATTTTTAAACATACCTTGCTCAGTTACTGACAAGCAGGTTTTTTTAAAGTTAATAAGGATAACAAACCTGACCTAATATATAGAAAGAACACTACACACAACATCTAAGAATATGAAGTCTTTTCAAGTGCACATGGCACACGGACCTTATGTTGAGTCATTAAATAAGCCTCAACAAATGTTAACGAATGAAATCATTCAGAGTATATCCTTAGAATATCTGCAATAAAAAGAAAAGTAGAAAACCCCAAATGTTTAAAAATCAATCCATTTCTGAATAATAATGAAAATATGGCATATCATCATTTTGCCAATGACTAATGTCAGAAGCAGGGTAGTACACAGCAATTGACTGCACTATCCATTCAACTTCTAGTATGTTTGAAATTTTCCATAAAAAAGGAATAAAAACCAAAATCCTGTAAAAACACTTTCTAAAAAGAATTAGAAAATCAGCATAGTCCTGAATCTGTTAAAGAAGTCGATCTGTAGCTCAAAATCATCTGATAAAGAAAATTCTGGGCTCAGATGGCTTCACCAGGAAATTCTACCAAACATTTAAGAAAAACAACAAATTTTAAACTTTTCCACAAACTGCAAAAAAGAAACACTGCCCAATTTGTTTCATGGAGTTAGCATACCTTGATTACAACACCTGCCTGGGATTTTATGGGAAAAGAAAATTATATGCCAATCTCTTCCATGAACACAGACATAAGAATCCTAGATAAAATATTATTAAACCCAATTTTATGTGTGCATATGTTTATATGTGTATGTATAATGAGTATTATATGGCAACCAAGATGGGTTTATTCCAAGACTGCAAGGTTGCAAACCAATTATTACAATTTACCAATCAACAGAATCAACAAGGAAAAAAATTAGAATCATCTCAATTACTGCAGAAGCATGTCATAAAAAACAGTAATGTGGGAATAATAGATAGATACCTTAATCTGTCAAAAGGATCTATGAAAACATACAGCAAATATCATAGTTAATGATGAATGCAATGAATATAGAAAGCTTTCCCCTGAGATAAGGAACAAAATAAGAAAGTCAATCCCCCCTGCACTAGAAGTCCTAGCCAGTGTGACAAGAAACAGACATTTAAAAAATTTACAGATTTTAAGTACAGAGTTAATAAATTAGTTTAACAATGTCTCTGGATATAAGATCAATTTACAAAATATACTTATAATAATTAATAACTAAATAAACTTACAAAAATTAAATACCTAAGAATAAATCTAACAAAAGATAAATGAATGAATTTACCATTTCATGGATTAGAAGATTCAGTATTGTCAAGATGTTAACTTCCTCCAAATTAATTTATGAATGCAATACAATGTCAATCAAAATTCTAGAAGTTTTGTGGAAATTGATAAGCTGACTCTAAAATTTACATAGGTCCAAGAACAACAAGATCTTAAAGGACAAAGCTGGGGAACATAACTCCCAGATCCCAGAAATATTATATAACTACTGTTATTTTAAAAGTGTGGTACCGGTATAAAAATAGACAAATAGGCTAAGGGAACAGAACAGAGAATAGAAATAGATCCACACACATACAGTCACATGACAAAGCTGAAAATGCAATGCACTTGTTTCAGAAAGCATAGATTTTTTTACTATATGGTGCTGGATCACTGGCTATCCAGATTTGGGGTTTGTGGTGCAGGGAGGGAACCCTTGACCTCCTAATCTTATACCACTTACAAAAATCAAACATGAAAGAAAAAATAATAAAGTTTCCAAAAGACAACATAAAATATCTTCATGGCTTGGTGAGGATACTCAAAGATTTCATATACATGACACAAAAAGCACTAACCACAGAGGGAACGATCACTAAATCACTCTTCTATTAAAATTAAGAACTCTTATTCAGCAAAAGACATTATTAAAAGAGTGAAAAGACAGACCACCAGAGAGAAGATATCTGCAATATATATATCCAACAAAGGACTTATTTCCAAAATAAACAAAAAGAAAATGGCTATAAATCAATAAGAAAAAGACAACTCAATATTAGATGTGCAAAATACTTGAATAGGTGCTTTACAAAACAGAATTTCTAAATGGTCAATAAGCATATAAAAAAAGGTGCTCAACAGCAGTAGTAATCAGGAAAGTATAAACTAAAATCACAATAAAATACTACTTTACTTCCACTAAGTGACTAAATTGGAGGGAAAAAGGGGGAGGGGGAAAGGGGGGGTGCAATACCAAGTATTCAGGAAAATTCCCACGACTAGTGGGAATGTAAACCTGGTACACCGCTTTGGATTTTTTTGTTTGTAAGTAAAAGTGACACTCCATAAAAATGCACTGTGTTTAACCTGTGGTTTCTTGTGTCTTCTGGCACATGAATGTGTACCCAGGTTTGCGAAACAACAAACAAGATTTAAGTCCAAGATGGTTTGCAGGACATAAAACCCCGACAGTCTGGCTCTTGTTCTCTTTGCCCCTCTTTTTCACCCTCCATGTTGTTTTCCCCCTAGATCATGCATACCTCTGCTCATACTGTTCCCTGCTATTGACTAAATGTTTGTGTCACCCCTGCCCCCCCCAAATTATATGAAACCCAAACCCCCAATGTGATGCTATTTGGAGATGGGGTCTTCAGGAGGTAATTAGGTCATGAAGGGTGTGGTCCTGGTATGACAGGATTAGTGCCCTTTATAAGAGACACCAGAGAGCTTGCTCACTTGGGCGTTCTCTGGCACTGAGACAAAGCAGCTGTCTGTAATCCAAGAAGAGAGCCCTCACTAGGAATCAACCGTGCTGGCACCCTAACCTTGGGACTTCCAAGCCTTCAGAACTGTGAGGAAAAAAACTTGTTATTTAATCCACCCAGTTTATGGTATTTTGTTATGGCAGACTATGCTGACTAAAATTCCCTCTGTTTAAAACATTCATCCCCTCGCTCCTCCTGTGTTTTCCCCCCCAATTTTCATCACCAGCCCCACCCTCTTCAATTAGTTAACAATTTTTCTCATCCTTGAAAAGTTCAGGTGTATCTTAAGAAAAAACACAAACTCTCATCTTCCACAACGACTTCAATACCCCTATCCTGTGCTCCCAATCACTATGAGCACGTATCTATTACGCCATCATAAACTCTTTTAGAACAGAAACTGTGGTTTATGTTCCTTTGTATCCCTCTACTGGATAATGAAAATGTAACTAACACCTTTTCCCCTTTATCATCAAAAAATTTAAAGTCAAATTTATGACTCAATTATTAAACCTGTTTAGGACATTATGACATATATGTATTGTCTCATTCCGGATTTGATTATAAATCTTATTCTCCTGGGTTTCTGTTGTTCTTTGACTGGTAAAGGGCAGATGGTCCTAATGTTCTCATCTAACACATCCGATTTCTATAAATATGAATAATATATTGAAAAATATTTATTTTCTCACCTGATTGGCTTGGCTTTGCAGGTAGACTCTTCTGGCATTCAGATCTTCAAAGGGAGAAGGCCTTGAGCTTCTGTAAGGCTCACTGGTTATAACTGTCTCTTGCTGGAAGAGATGATCTTTCACTAGAGAACTGGAAGTATCCTCTTCAGCTGCCTAATGGGAACAATCCCCAACTCATTAGTTACCAGAATGTAAAAAACAACAACAAAATAAGATACCTGCACTCTAACAAAAATTTAGCAAATCAGTAAGTATGTACCACCACCATCAATGTGTATGGCAATTCCCCAAACTCAAATGTGCGTTAGGAAGCCATGTCAAAATAAAATAATATGAATTAAAAATAAAAATCAACTTTATAAGCAAAATGGACTTTCTTAAAAAAAATAACATAGGAAGAATTAGAAGGCTATCCATGCCAAGTGAGAAAGATATCTAATTACAATAAAGCTGTTAATTATAACTAAAAGTGATATATGTACACAGAAAATGAAGAAATTATGAGGAAAAAATACAAATCAATAAAATTGTTACTTTGCAAGTTTTTTTTAAAGAACTTTTTTCTTTTTACACAGTACCAAGGATTGTGCTGTATGATACGAGGGATCGAAGAAGGAAGACAGTAGTCCACGTAATTTTAAAAGTAATTGAATGAGTGAATTAATTAATTAGCCTGAACTTGCTGATTATTTAGAAGGATTCAAACCATATACAAGACTCAGTGAAGGAGATATGCTCAATCAATGACAGTCACTAACAAAATGCTTTTGGAATTTCATAAACAATATTTCTGTGAAATAAATGTTGAATAAGTGAAACTTAGCACATTACAAAACAGAAAGTCCTGAAAAGGTTTTGTTTCTTTTTTTTTTTTTTTAAGAAATGAGATAACTCTTTGTTATTATTTTTCCTGTTAGTATATAATTATTTGGGAAGAAAAAGTGACAGCCAACTAAAATTACAGAAATACCTTTACTGGCTCACTCTAAAGTAATTTAGAGTAATCATTATAGGGCTAATAATTTTAAAGGTAGAAACACTTACAAGCTTTTTTATAAAAATAAAAAACATTAAAATTTGGTATTACTTCTAATATTAAGCAATAAAGTTCATAAAAGTTATTAAAATTTGGTATTACTTCTAATATTAAGCAATAAAGTTCATAAAAGTTATAGCTAAGATATTATAAATTTATAAATGCATGTTCTGGTCCTTGCTCTGAAACAAAGAAGCTTTGTGACATTTAATTTTTCTGGAACTCAGTTTTTTCAATTCAATAATTATAATACCTATACTGTTTTATGACATGGATTGTCATAAGGATTTAGTGAGATGGTAATATATGTGAAAATGCTCTGAAAACTAAAAGCTGTTATTTTATCAGGAAGCAACTAAACTTTAAAAAATGTATCTGAGAGTCTCTTGTCACTTAAAACTACATGTGTCAAACCCAGTTAATTGCTATTTTTAGCTAATTTTCCTAATAGTTATATCAATGTGTTATGACAGTTAATGCTAAGTTATTGGAAAGGAGGTGGCTAAATAATGGTATTCAGCAAACATTCTTTCAAAATTAATGATCAAAACTGGGGAGAGTAAAAAGAATTCAGGAAGCATATTTATTTGTTCCAGGGAGTTTTCAAAATAAATGACCCAAGTAACTGTCAAAAATCATAAGCAAACTGAATAGAAGAAAACAACAATAACAACAAAAAGGTTTAGAGAAAGGGCCTAGGTTGGAACCTTGTCTTATCCAACTTGGGTATGAAATTTAAGCAATTAACTTCTCTAAATCACAGCTCCTTTTTATTATAAACTGGGTATAGTATTTGTATTAAAAATCTCAGGGTTAGTTGAGATACTCAAGAGATTAAAAACTATAAACAAGCATAAACTGTATTAGTAGTGATCATAAAGTAATTATGCTTTTAATGGTGACAACTATTTTGATCAGGTTGTCTTTACTGTATTCTAATCTAACTGAGAAGTCATTTAAGAATTGTAAAATATAATAAAGCTTACTTAAAAATCTGTATCTGAACAAATACAAAATGTTTACATGACCCAGTGTTTTACTGTATTGACTGAGGTTAATTCTACTTACATTAAACAGTAATAAATTTCATTTTGATTAAAAATAAATACATTATTTTTTAAAGGGAAATATCAAAAGTATTGTTTCATTATTAAACAAATAAAATGTGTATAGTATTTGGGTAATAAATGATTTAGTTCAACTTAAAAATGCTTACCAAAATACCTGGAATTAACCTATTAATTAGAAATACTGGGACTTCCCTGGTGGCGCAGTAGATGAGACTCTGCGCTCCCAATGCAAAGGGTCCAGGTTCAATCTAGATCCTACATGCATGCCGCAACTAAGAGTTCCCATGCCACAAAGAAGGAGCCCATGAGCCGCAACTAAGACGTGGTGCCATCAAATAAATAAATAAATATTTTTAAAAAAAAGAAATATTTCATACTACACAGTGAATTTATAACTATACACCTAAATGTGTCTCAGCTAATAAAATAACTAAAACATCTTTCAGGTGTCTGATATGGTAAAAATAAACAAACCAACCCTCACTGTTTGAAAATGTAGAGTCTACAATCTATAATAAGGGACATATTATACATGAATTGTCAGAAACTAACATTTTTAGAGAATCCTAAACAGGAAAAGACCATTTTCCTACTACCTATGTCTCTTTCAGCAAGTTTAAATTTAGGTGTATATTAAGTTGACAAAGTATTAAAAAAAAGTGGTGATAAGGAAAATGGTCATTCTCATTCACTGCTTATTCTATACACAGGAGGAAAATCCGGACCAACCATTTCTGAAGAGCAATTTTAGTAAAATGTATCAAAAGCTTTTAAAACATTCACACATTTTCACCACTTATTCAATCTAGTAAAGAAAAAATTGTACTAAATGGAAAGAGCTTTAGGCACAAAATATTTTTCTCAGAATTTTTTAATAGTAAAAATGAAGAAATAACCTTAATGTCCTAAATTAAGGGAATGGTTATGTAAATTATGGTATGCCCACTTAATGGAATGAGCGGTCATTTGAAATTAGGTTTATGAATACCTACTTTGTGGAGAAATGTTTAATGTTAAAAAATCAGTATATAAAATTTTATTTATAGTATTATAACCATAAAAAGATGAAAGGTTAAAAGGATATAAAACGAATGTTAGTATTATTCCTTGATGGTATGATTATAAATGATTTTCCAATTTTTCTAGAGCTTATTTATGTTTATAAGGGCGATTTCTTTTAAAATCTAGGTATATACTTTCCCCCCTCCTTTTGATATAGAGTCATAATATTTAAAAATACAATACAATTATATTTTATCAAAATAGTCAAGTAATTCAACTGACTAATGAACCAGTCACTTGCTTTTTGGCATAAGTAGATTCCTCCCTCCACCCCCCCCGCCACTCTGTATTTGAGATAATAAACTGAGACATTGTTCAATCCTTGCCCTAAACCCTTCTGGATTCATGCAGAATATCTCTTTTGGTCAGTAAAATAAAATAATTTTCTAAACAAGCTAATCTTCTGAGTGTCTTTCAAATCCATTTTCTCTTCTCCATATCCACTTACCTACTCTCTTCATGCAAGCTCTCATTATCCTTTTTTGCCTCTCTTATTTTAGTAGGTTTCTAAGTGATCTCCTTGTTTCCAGTCTTGTGAAAAGGCTAGGCATGCAAATCTGCTGGTTTTTCTACTCAGAATCCTTCTAAGGTATCCAATTATCAAAGCTCTATTGGGGAACCCTGTACACACTGGAGAATAGAGGGCCGAGAATCATTATTGTCTGAGGAACGCTTTCAAGATACATAATTTACACAATCCATAGAAATGGGCTCTCTCACCCCAGAAGCACTGAGGTACAAGACAAAGTCCAACTTTATTTCACAGGAAAAAGAAATAGACAACAAATACATGAAAAGAAGATGATGGACTTCAATTAAAGACTTAAAAATGTGATGACAATTTTTTATACGGACTAGAAAAGATGGAAAATATAATAATACTCAACACTGGCAAGGGTATGGGGAAACAGGATATTTTGCACTGTTGGTGGGAGTGCATTTCTTCTTTGAGAAAGTGATCGTATATACAGATACATACACAAATAATCATCGTAGCACTCTTTTTAACAAAAAAAGAAAGGGAGAAAACATCCTATGGCTGTATCAGCACAGGACTGGTTAAAAAATTATGGTATACATATATGATAGAATTCTAAAAGCCATTAAAAAGATCTGTATGCAGTACTCACAAGATATTGCTAAATGAAAAAAAGCTAGGGACAGAACTGTCAGTATGACATGATTCTATCTGTCAAATTGATAGGATGGATGAATAGGCATTTTAAAATTTTATCAGTTTAAGGAAGGATATACACCAAACCACTGATATTTCCCTTAGGAAATATTTTATATAAAGGACTATAGACATAATAATATAAAGGTAATAAAGTGAATATGTGTATACTTATCACCCAACTTAAGAAAGAGAAATAACCAAGACAGCAAATATTATATTATCAAGACAACAAATAATAGCATCCCCCACCTCTACCACTTGGATAGGTAAATATTATCTTGAAGTAGTTGTTTATTTTACAATTTCTTACTGTTTTTTACAGCTTTACCACATAAGTATTATTCCTAAACAATATTTAGTTCTAGATGCTTCTGAATTTTATTTGACTGGTATCATGCAATTTGGGACATTTTGGAACTTGCTTTTTTTGCTCATTTTTTTTCATGAAACTTATTCATGTTGATATATGTAGCAATAGCTCACTCATTTTCACTTCTTTGTAGTGATGATAGCTAACACCTATTAAGCATTTTCTATGTAGCAGACATTGTCTCAAGTACTTTACATGGGTTAACTCATTTCATCCTCACAACAACCCTTCGAGCTAGTTAGCATTATTATCTCTCTATTCCACAGGAAGAAACTAAAGCTCAAAGACATTATGTAACTTGCCTAAGATAAAACACTTAATTTTTTGCTATTTCAAACAAGGGTGCTAAGAACATTCTTCTACAGGCCTCATGATACATATATACAAGAATTTTTCTGGTACATATCCAGGGGTGGAAATGCTAGATTATAAGATACA